ATTGCTCAGCAGTTGAAAAGGATGCTCAGAGTGAAGATGTGAAGCTACTGCATCTCTCTAGAAGAGTTGGATTCTTTTCTCTTACCATTTAGTTGACCCACACCAACCAAATGGCTTTGTTCCTCTGTTCTGGTAGTACTCACAATGTCACAGGTCAGTCCCCTTGGTGCAACAAACTCTCCAGCCTTGCTCTCTTAACATATCCTCATTTACTCTATCTATTCTATTAGCTATTATTCCCTGTTCTACCTGCTGAATTCTCACAAACTGCTTCTGAGAAAAATTCCACAAAACATGCTTTTGTTTTGAGGATATACTCTGTCATGCTACTCTTTTCAAACACTGAAGTTAGCTGAACAGTAAAAAGATTAATCCACAGAGCTAATAATCAAACTGGTACATAATCAGAATGGACTCTAACAAGACTGAATATAATATAGTAGTAAATAAGACTCTAATTGGACTTCCTTGGGAGGTCAGCGCGCATACCCACTTTTTTGTTTGTTTTTTTGTTGTTGTTTTTGTTTTTTTCTGGTTGGCATAGAAGAAGCTAAAAGGAGGCCATATCTTAACTTTTCCAGACTAAGCTGGCCTTGATCAGAATATGATAGAAAAGGGGAGTGAGTAACATCTACGAAAGCCTATCGAAGAAAGCAACATTTGGAGAGCAATTATCAAACAGGAAGCTGGCATACTTTGTCTAATAGGACAAGTTTGAGAAAGTAAACTGAATATGGTTTTGTTGTTGTTGTTGTTTAGGTTGAGTTCCGGGCTTTGTAGCCTTTGCCTTTCCTCAGCAAAGACAGGTTATCAATTTTTTTTTCTCCCATTGACATTGGTTCTGTAGAAAGACCACAGTTTAAAATGAAACAGGATCTTGTCAACAATAGTGATTCTCATTTGAGATGAAAAGGTTCTCAGTGGTTTAATAGGACACGGGGTGAACTTGAAGTAGGATGTAAAGTATCTCAATATGAAATGAAGATGTAGTATAGCTGGAATATGGTTTAGATTCAACAGAACTCAGTATATAAAGGATCAAACTATGGGCCCAGAAATTCCATCAAAAATATGAATATAAAAAGCAGAGAAAAATATCTTGGAAATGCAAAATATAGTTTTCTTGTAATTAGGGATATTAAAGTAACCAAAGGGCTGGGAGCAATCATTTTGTAAAATAAAGGTGTAAAGGAAGAATAATATTTGATATTTCTAAGAAAATGAGAAAAAAAACAAACAAACAGAAAGGTCCCAAAATTGAAATTGATCAAAGGCATGTCTGGGGAGTAGGTGGAAGTGTCTGACATGCTATATGCTAGCTTATACTGGTTAGTAGGACTTTTCTTTTTTATTATTATATATTATTTATTATAATTTATTCACTTTGTATCCTGGCTGTAACCCCATCCTTCATCTCCTCCTGGTTACCTCCTCCTTTCCTCTTCTTCTCCTATGCCCCTTCCCTAGTCCACTGATAGGCGAGGTCCTCTTCCCCTACTATCTGATCATAGCCTATCAGGTCTCATCACGACTTGCTGCACCCTCTTCTTCTGTGGCCAGGTAAGGCTGCCCCTCTCTCAGGGGGAAGTGATCAAAGAGCTAGCCATAGAGTTCATATCAAAGACAACCTCTTTGTCTCTTACTAAGGAACCCACTTGGAGACTGAGCTGCCTATGGGCTACTTCTGAGCCTGGGGTCTAGGTCCTCAAGTGAAGATTCTTTATACTATATTCAGAAAGACACAAGCTATGGATTACACACACACACACAAACTCATACACACAACCTGTAAAGCTCAATGAATCAACATGAGTCAGCTCCCACAGCTGCTCATAGAACCTGGGAGTATGGATGGCTGAGGGGCGTATGAAGGGCCTGTGGATAGAAACATGACATCTTTCCTAACCTGTTACTTCACAGAATTTCTTTTAAAGTTTAACGTGTTTAAATCACTGATATTTTTAGAAAATTAAATCAAAGAAAATTAAAAATTTACAGGATCTCAAAAAATGATCAAAAATTTTATTGAATTTTTATATGGATTGAAATTTTATATGCAAAGTCAAAAAAGTCCTTGTTTTGTACTCATTTAAACAGTTTTAAAATGAAAACATCTATGTTAAGATTTACTCTTTACTAGTGTATGTTAATTGTAAAAAAGCAGTGTACTGTATTGGGACATTTTGGCATATGTATATAAGGTGCATTGAGCATACTTATCCCTTACGATGTATAGATCCCTTCTTATTGGGTTGTCTTCATAATTCCTAATAGTAACTTTTCTTTCACATCTTAAAAATTCATATACAAGAGGAAACATACAATATGTTCTGAATCTTTCTGAGTGTGGTATCATTTAACAGGTAGCTTTTGGTTGTATAAATTTTCCTATAAACAACGTGCTTTCACTCTTATAAATGTCTGTATAACATTCTATTGTATATATGCTGCATTTTCTTTATTTATTCACTGATAGATATCTTTATGTATTCCATAACTTTGTTATTGTGCAACTTGTCCACAAAAAAAAAAAACATGGTTATTCAGGTTATATCCTCTTCATGTAAGCTTTATTTCCTTTGACTCTAGACCCAGGAGGATTATAGCTTGACCATATGGCAGTTCTATCCTTATTCTTTTGAGTACTGATTTTCATAAAGGTGGCACTAGGAGATGAAAACAGTACATATTTTTAAAGATCAGTTTTCTTAATTTATCTAATGTAATCAAGTCAATCAAATATGAATGGGCTTTCTTACAGTTTGATAAGATAAATCTTAAGATTACGTGGAACCGTAAAGGGTCAAGAATAGCCAAGGCCGTATTGGTGTAAAAGAAGCAAATAAGAGACATGAGTTTGACAAAAGTAATATTTAACAGAAATAGTAACCCACAGAGATATTACGTATAGATGAATACTATGAATATTATGTATACATGAATAGATCAAGGTAAAAATCTTGTGTATTTATGAACAGAAGTAAAAATGCAGGTGAATAATAGATTTTTCAACAAATAATGGTGGGAAAGTGAATATATGCACATAAAAAATGCAACTGGACTATTAATTCACAATGCAATTAATTCAAGCCGCAATTAATTCAAGTGGTAGAGGAATGCATGTAATGAAATCATGAACTTTCGGTAATGTACTATAGTAGCAATGGTTTGGTTCTCACAGCAAGCAAGTATTTACAAATCTTCTTCATTATTAGAGTCAAATTGATGAAAGTGGCTGTATCAGATTGATATAATTATCAAAGTTAAACATACAAGATTTAAAAATTAGCTATATGCTATAGATATCTATATTTTATCCATATCAAATTTGTATTGCTCTCAACATTATGTATTCAGGAAAGGTTAGTACAGAGAACTTCACAAATTAATTAAGAAATGCAATACACTTGAAAAATAGGCAAAATGGAATTTTTAGTAAAGTTACAGATAGGCACACACACTGTCTATTGATCCCATCCCTGATAAATCATTTTCTTATATGTGAGAATAAGACAAGAATATTTAGTGTAGCATTGCTTACAGTGGCAAAACATGAAAATCCCTAAATGTACATTGACTATCCAAGGGATAAATAGATGATAGTAATTATCACACAGAAAATTAAAGAAAGTGAAAGTTAACTAAAAGTGAGCACAAGAGTAAAACAGTATTTTATAAATTTAGATGAAAACTACATTGCAGAATGTCAAATAGTCTAAAAACTGTAAAACCAAATAATAATTTGTTATGTTAGGCAGTAAAATGTAAGAGACATAAAAAAGCCAGGCATCTTAGCGCATGGCTGCTATTTCAGTACCCTGGAAGATGGGGCCAAGAGTCAAGGGAATCAGGCCGTCCTCATCTACACACTGAGTTTGGGTTTGAGGACAGTCTGAGCTACACATGTGACACGATTTCATAAAATAAAAATTGAAGAAGGGCAGCTCTCAGCAAACATGTCAATCTTATTTAAAAAACAAAACAAAACAGAGAACATGGATGCAGAAGAAAACAAGAGCTTTCAAAACTTGTGATAACTATTTCCTAACACAAATTAACTACTTGAGTGTTTAGTCAGTTGGTGTATTATCAAACTTTGATCAATGTATTTGATGTCAGTTTAGACGATGACGGAATCTTCAGTTTAATGAGAAAGAAGAAAAAAAATCCATAGACATACGTACTTCTAGTTGTTAACCTAGTCCCCTAGAATGAGAATAGGAAAGAGTGAGAAGAAAATAAAGTCAAAACTTCACAAAAAGATTGTACAACTTAAAAGGAACAGTGATTGAAAACTCGGACAAGAAGAAGTGGGGTTAACTAAAACAAACTCTAGTAAATTGAACAAGCTGGAAAACAGAATAAAATATTAGTGGTTAGTCACAAAAATATGAAAGAGTAGTAATGATAGGGCACAGGTACACAACGTTAGATGGCAAACAAAAACAATATCCATCTGTGATATAAACACCAATACACAAGTTAATGAGAAACCATGCTTAGGAGACAATCAAGAAACACTGAACATAAATGGTCCATAATATGAATATACATCGACAGGGAAGGATAAAATTAGCTAAAAGGGCATTATCAGAGAACAATTAAAAATCAATTAGTAAAAAGTAATGTGGCTCAGTCTATATACATACATGCAAAAATTAGTATGGTTTTGCACACACATGCATGCTCATGAAAAAGGTGACTGAGAAAGAGAGCTTCAGAGGTTATCACTAATGCACCAACAGTCTGGTCTTTGTCTGGTAGTCATAAGATGCTTTGTGCTGTGACTAATTTTACTTTTAGCTGTCTAAAATATGCATGTGCTGTTTGTATTAGTTATAAAAAACAAATTTATTTACTCTGTTAAAAATTTCCTTCTATATTGTGAAATGTGTCAGCAAAATCATGTGTGTAAAGTAGTGTCTTTGAATCTTAAAAGGGATCATGTTACAGGAAAGGCACAGACAGTCTGACACTTCCTTTTGCTAGCCAATGCAATCATGAACACGAGGCTTCTCTGCTGTGTAGCCTTCTGTCTCCTGAGAGCAGGTCATTCTGGTTTTGGGATTCTTGATAGTAGCTCCAAGCCTCCTCCTCCTCCTCCTTCTTCTTCTTCTTCTTTTTTTTTTTTTTTTTTTTTTTTTTGTTATGATTACTTCTTGGGCCACTTGGACTTTTTCATGCTTTCTGTTTTCTTATCTTCTAGGCTCTTTGGGTGGCCAGATTATCCAGACACCACGACATCTGTTCAAAGGGAATGGACAGAAGGCAAATATGAGCTGTACCCCTGAAAAGGGGCATACTTTTGTTTATTGGTATCAACAGAAGCAGGACAAAGAGTTAAGGTTTTTGATTTCTTTTCAACGTCAAGATGTTCGTGACAGTATCGACCTCGTCAAGGAGCGATTCTTGGCTGAGTGTCCCGTAAACTCACCCTGCAGCCTGGAAATCCAGTCCTCTGAAGCAGGAGACACCGCACTGTACCTCTGTGCCAGCAGTCTCTCCACAGCGCTGAAATGTGCATTGACTTTAGTGCACAAACCCTCCATGGAGCCCACTCAGGAAACAGGTGATGGGCTGGAAGGAAGTAACAGAAATTAACTGGAGCCAGTGTGAACAACAGATTTCACAGGACCTAGAAAATGCCTAAAGGTGGAGCGACTTTTCTGAAAGATGGTGGGGCCTGAACTGGGAAGAATGGTGCTTTTCTCCTCTTTTCTCTGCTTTGTGTGTTTCTGTTTGTGTCTACTACCTATCTCTTTTCATGTAGTACTCATGGTAAAAGTAATGTGGTCACCAAAGATGCCAAATTCACTTTCAGCATTCTACCATGCTGATAAAGATCAACCTGGCTTATCCAGAGTATGAATTTAACAATCTCAAAAGAGTGGATTGTGATGATCTAGCTTTCCCTTCTCAGGGAACACCCACCACCAGCCATGTGTGCATGGGTTTTAGGTTGCATAAATGTTATCTTATTATGTCTGTTCTCTAGATTTTCACTCTGCTCCCAAGCTCAAGGTAAGAGAAACACTCCATGTTTCTGTGTGCCCTTCACAAATGCATTTCTTCCAGAAAAGTATTTCAATTTTTTGGTAAGCACAAAATACTGAATACTAAAACATTTTATAGGCCGTTATCATCCTTGTATGATATATATCCAGAAATGTGATTATTGATAAATGAAGGATTATAAGGAGGTGCATTTTATGTACTTCCAGATTATGAGAGGACTGTTGAGACTCACTGTTGGCTCCATTCTTAACACAGAATTTCAAAGACCTTCTCACAAACCCCGTATCTCCCTAAGATGTTTCCCACCAATCAAGGATGGCCACTTAAGCAGTTCCAAGTGGAGATTTTCCATCTCTTTCTCTCTCTAAAGACACTGCCAGTTTTATCATAAAGTTGAAGAGGCTGATTTCAGAAACATAAAGTCAATACTTCAATAGAAAAGGGCAAGGGGAAGAAAGACGAGAAGGAAGGTGCTGTGGTAACTAGGCCCTGGGATCCAAGCAGGCAAAAAGCAGGAAGAATTCAAGTGTGAGGCCAGTCATAGATGAAAATTTATGTTTTGTAAAGAGAGAGACACTAATGAATTAAGAGTATTAGCATTACCCAAAGTAATACATTATATTAATTTGGATATCCTCCCTTAACTCCTCCCAGTCACACCCTCCCTCCCTCTTCCCCAACACCTTCCCCTAGTCCACTGAAAGGGGGAGTTCCTCATTATTGCCATATGACCATAGCTTGTTAAGTCTCATCAGGACTGCCTGGATCGTCTTCCTCTGTGGCCTGGCAAGGCTGCATCACCAGGGACAAGTGATCAAGAGCAGGTAATGACATTCATGACAGTTCTGCATGAGTGAAATATTAGTAAGTTTTGTGAACAGGGCAAGGAAAGCCTTCCCTTCTGTTACCATAAATTTCTTTGGTGGCACATGAGACAGTAACATAACAATCGCATCTGCAAAGGGGTCAGTTCACAGGAAGGTTGTGCACGAAGCCTGCAAACACAGCATTGTTAAGTAGCTTCATGTAACTATTTTCTCTTCTGTCTATCTCTTGCTTTTCTCTCTCCAATTACTTTCCTACTTATTAATCCAGTCTTCATGGGGGAAGAGTAAGACAGTCTACAAAGACAAGTTCTATTGGTCTCATTCTACCCAGCTAATTAAACATTAACTTCGTTTTTGTGATCTGAGGTTGAAGACCAAATTGATTTGTGAAGATCTGGGCAAGACTATGTCTCAGAAAACCCATTGTAGATACATACGTATCTATTTTAATGCCATGTAAGTTATTTTAATAATGATTCAAATTTGACACTTTGATTCCACTCCCCCTAAGCTGAAAATGAGTGAAACACCCCATGTTTCTATGCACATATCCTATCTGGTTTGTTTTTTCCCCCACAGGTGCACAATATTTCCTCCACATCCAGTTATTCCAGGAAATAAACCAAGTTCCTTCTAACTCATTGACAGCATTGAAAACCCTGGACTGAACATGCCATGAACTTTAAAAATCTCCCATAGTACTGTACAGTCAGAAACATGAGGGTTGAGGCACAGTCTGTTGCGTATATGACTCACTGTACATATTTTAAAAGCTTCGCTTTATCCCTAGACCCACATGGCTAAGCACCGCATATCTGCTCCTGACACAGCCCAGTGACTAGACAGACAAAGACAATCTAGATGTGACAGTAGGTTCAGTGGATTCCATAATCTTTGAATTTCTCAGATGTGTTTTGTGATAAAGATACAGATGATGACTGAAGAATAAATAAAATCAATGATTCAACAGGAGAGAAGAAGGGAGAGACAGACATGTATAAAAGTATATAAAGGAGCAAGTGTATTTTTTGAGATGACCCAGGCCTTTAATTGATGGGCTACATAGCTGATGTTGAAAGAAAGAATGAGAAAATTCTAAAATATCATTATATTATAAAAATATAATTAATAGATTAAAGGTATAATCATTTCCTAAAAGTAACATGATATTTTAAATTTTGTACTTTGTTTATTTTAATGCTTCTTACTGTTATGACAGCAAAATAATGGTAAACTTATTTTAATTGAATAAAACTTAACTAATTATATTTATTGATTACAGGAAAGTTTCTGGTGCTATGAACTGCTTTGGTGGTAACATGAAGCAATAATGTAAAGACTGAGTCTACCTAGGGCTGATGTCACAGGGGGGTTGTTGAGGAAGCGTGAAAACTCCACATCCTTTGCTGCTCCAGTGTAGCCATGGGCGCACAGCTCCTCTGCTCTGTAGTGCTATGCCTCCTGGGGGCAGGTGAGACCTAAGCTCCCAAGAAGAGTCTTGTTTGACCCAAATGATTTTCCTTCCTGGAGTCTCTTCCTAGCCTGTGTTCACATTTTCTGATTAATTTTCTTCTAGGCTCCTTTTATGCTGCAGTTACTCAGACTCCAAGACATCTGATCAAAATGAAAGGAGAGAAAGCAAAGATGAACTGTACCCCTGAAAAGGAGCACACTGCCGTGTTCTGGTATCAACAGACACAGAGCAGAGAGTTAAAGTTCCTAATTTACTTTCAGAATCAACGGCCTGTTGATCAAATAGACATGATTAAGGAGCGATTCTCAGCTGAGTGTCCCTCAAGTTCACTCTGCAGCCTGGAAATCAAAACTTCTGAGGCAGAGGACACTGCACTGTACTTCTGTGCCAGCAGTCGGTCCACAGTGCTAAACTGTGCACTTCCTTCAGTTCACAAACCCTCCATGGTGCCAACTTAAGAAGCAGGTGATGCTCAGGGTGGGAAGGGAGTCAGAGAAACTAGCTGGAGCCAGTGTAAACCACAGCAGACTTCACATGAAAGAGAGCGATTAGGAGAGACACTTCTAAAGGTTTTGTTTTTCTGACCCTTCGTACCATGTGATCTCTGTAGTGAGAATGAGATGGTTACCAGTTTCATAAAGTTAGTTGGTCTCATGTTCGTATAGTCCTAAGTTTATTTACTTCTGAGCCCATATTTAAAATCTTAAGAGAAAATGGGTTGGCAATAATTTAGTCATGATTTTCTTAGTGAACATTTAACTCTACCCACATATGTAGTATCCTAAGGTCATACATATGTATCATATGTGTATACACATGTATCATGTACATGTGTATCATATACAAATATATCATAATATGATACATACTATGATGCATAATATGATATATATGTAGTATCATAAGATCACACAATGTTGTTTGCTTGCATTTCCCCCAGAACTTATGTAGAGCAAAACACTTCATGTTTCTGTGTGCTCCTCCAGCTTCTCCCTTCTAAATAGAAGGAAATATTAAAAATCTGCTTTTTCCAGAAAGGAAATAAGTATCCACAGCTTCCTCTCAGCACTGAAATGCTTATACATAACATACCATAGGACAATTACAGTAACTTCATAGTATTTCATGCCCTGGCATTTGGCATTTGAGTGTTAAAACATGAGTGTTGAAACATAGAGTGCTAAGACATGGAATGCACTATGTGTCTTCTATTTTACACACACACATGAAACCAAAGGAATATTCATAATTAATGTATGTTCCAGTCACGGTGTGAAACACACAAGCCTCTCTCCCATATCTTCATCTCTCCAACTGTCATTATCCAATGACAAGATCCGTTTCTAACACTGACAGTAGCTTTACCATATTCCATAAACTTTTGTGGCTCTGTCCCAAGACATCATCAGTTTTTTTATAAAGATGTAAATGAATATTTAAATAATGTCAATAATTTAATACGTAATAATAATGATTTTGATGGAGTAATATATGCAGAGAATAGAGAGAGAAATCTGTTGTGGCAGTTTGAGCCTGTAATCTTAACAATGGGGCAGCGAGAGAGAATCAATAATGTATTAAGAAAATAGAAGGGAGATTATGTATGTAATGAAATTGTATAGTACTGTAAGCATTGTCCAGCAGTAATATATCTTAATTCTGATATTCTTATAATTTCATGACTTTACAAAATGCGAATGTTAGTAAAATTCACATAAACTGTTCTGAACGAACAAAGAGTCGTAGAGCTATATTCATGAAGATGAATGAAAGCTTTTTTTCTGATACTGAGAACTTTCTCAGCGGTAACAAAAAGCAGAAACATCATAGTTGAGTCTGCAAAGGGTCATGTCACAGGAAGGTGGCAGGTGAATCGTGAACACACCGCGTCCTCTGCTGCCGTAGTGTGGCCATGTCTGCACGACTGTTTTGCTGGGTGGTGCTTTGTCTCCTCTGGGCAGGTGAGTACTGAGAACAAAGGGAAAGGTCTTGCCCTCACACTCCAAACTACTGTTCCCAACCTTATTCCTTTTCAGAATCCCTCCTGCGCTATTCTCATTTTCTGTTTCCTCCTCCTCCAGGATCTTTTGATGCTAAAGTAACCCAGACTCCAAGATATCTGATCAAAGAGAAAGGACAGAAAGCAAATATGAGCTGTTTCCCTGAAAAGGGGCATACTGCCTTTTACTGGTATCAACAGGACCAGAAAAGAGAACTTAAATTGTTGATTAACTTTCGAAATGAAGACATTATTGAACAAACAGACGTGGTCAAGAAGCGATTCTCAGCTAAGTGTCCTTCAAACTCACCCTGCAGTCTGGAAATCCAGTCCTCTGAGGCGGGAGACTCAGCACTGTACCTCTGTGCCAGCAGTCAGTACACAGTGCTGAAATGTGCACTCCCCTCAGTGCATGAACCCCACTGTGCACACGACTCAGGAAGTGGGCAATGCCAGAAACTGGAAGACAGTAACAGAAAATTACTAGGTCTGGCACCAACCACAGCAGATTTCATGCAAGGCTGGAGGGCTTTTAGATTCACGGGAGCAACGGGCTGACATTTCTGAAGCAGGCCATGTCTGGGATAGCTGTTCTTCATACCACATTATTCTCCTTTCTCTCCTACCTCGTGCTTGTCTGAACCTACCCACCATCACTCTCCTTTCACACAATGCTCACGGCTGGAATAAGAAAGTCACTGAAGTTTGCAGCTTCCCTTGGCATCTTTCTATCATATTGATGTTGATTAGTATCAGTTTTGAATGTGTATTTGAGATGTAGTTATTAAGAAAATATTTAAGTGTGTGTGGGGTGCATTGTAAATGCATACACATGTACACATTTGAGTGCAGATGCATATGACGTCCGCAGAGGATATCACATCTCTTGGAGCCTGAGCTACAGACCGTCGTGAGCCACCTAATGAGAGTGCTGAGCTCTGAATTACTGTCTCTCCTGGAGCCAGATGCCCTTAACTGCTGATCATTTCTCTAGCCTCATGAATTTGTGCATAAATCTTAAGAGAAAAAAAGAAATATTTATGGTCTACTCATTCTTTTCTTTTTAAAATTATTTTTATTTTCTTTCTTATTTATTTTACATCCCAAGGGTGCCCTTTCCCTTTTCTCCTCCCAGTTCCCCCCTTTTCCCTTCCCCCATCACCCTTTCCCTTCTTTCTTTCTCCCCATATCAAGCTTCCCCAGCACATCAAGTCAATCAGGGCAGAGCACATCTTCATCCCCTGAAACCAGACAAGGCAACCCTGCCAGGGGGAAGTGATCCAAAAGCAGGCAATAGAGTCCATGTGAGAAACAGCCTGCCCCCTCCACTTGCCGGGTAACCCACATGAAGACCAAGCAACCCATCTGCTATGTGTGTGCAGGGGGCCTAGGTCCAAGTCATGCACATCGTTTTCTTGAGAAGGACCCTATTCATGTATGTACATATTGAAAGTCATGAAAATTTCATTTTATTATGGATGAAATTCTGACACTCAGTTTCTCTCCTAAGCTTAGAGTAAAGCCATATTTTTGAGAGTTGGGCAGTCTCTCCAATCTAATGACCCATGACACTCTGTGTCCTCTTTCTGGAAAAGAAAACAATTTGCCTCCATTCTTCTTCGAGCATTGAAAACACTTGTGTGGAGCATTCTGTGTGTTATCATGTGTCTTTTAAAAGCACATTATTGTATTATATGCCCTGTATCATAATAATTGACATGTGGAGGGCTATTTTACTTTGTTTTGTTTTATTTATGACATAGCACCAGGGAGTGTGTGAAAATTACTGGATACTCTACAATCTAATAAAATACATCAGACTTACTTTATTCTCTTTTCACCTCATTAAATTTTCTTTTTTAATTAAGTAATTTTTTATTAATTACAATTTATTTGCTTTATATCCCAGCTGTAGCCCCCTCCTTTGTCTTTTCCCAATCCCACCTACCCTCTTTCTTCTCCTCCCATGCTCCTCCCCAAGTCCACTGATAGGGGAGGTCCTCCTCTCCTTTCATATGACCCTAGCTTATCAGGTCTCATCAGGACTGACTGTGTTGCCTTCCTCTGTGGCCTGGTAAGGCTGTTCCTCCTCATGGGGAGGTGATCAAAGAGCCACTGAGTTCATGTCAGAGACAGCCCCTGTTCCCCTTACTGGCTTACCTACTTGGAGACTGAGCTGCCATAGGCTACATTTGTGTAGGGGTTCTAGGTTATTGCCATGCATGGTCCTTGGTTGGAGTATCAGTCTTAGAAAAGACCCCTGGGCCCAGATTATTTGATTCCTTTGTTCTGCTTGTGGAGCTCCTGTCCCCTCCAGCTCTATCTCCCCCTTCTTTCATAAGATTCCCTGCACGCTTCCCAAAGTTTGACTATGAGTCTCAGCATCTGCTTCGATACCCTGCTGGGTAGAGTCTTTCAGAGGCCCTTTGTGGGTAGGCTCCTGTCCTGTTCCCTGTTTTCTCCCTTTCAATATCAGTCTCGTTTGCCTTTCTGAATGAGGATTTATCATCTTACCCAGGGTCCTCCTTCTTGTTTAGCTTCTTTAGGTGAACAGATTTTAGTATATTTATCCTATATTATGTGACTAATATCCACTTATAAGTGAGTATATACCATGTGTGTCTTTCTGCTTCTAGTTATCTAGTCAAGAAAGTTTTGAAGTGTCTGTATGTTAAGAAATACCAGTCTTTTGCCACTTCCCAATATATCATTATTTTTTAACATAAAATGAAAGTTCCAGCTTAAGAAACATAAAGTAAAATCAAGTTTTAACAGAAAGAAATACATAAATAAGAGATAAACCTGAAGTATGATGTTCAATGGTGTTATTCCTCAATGGGCATGGGGAAGACAGAGAATCACAATTTAGAGTCTACCATGGCCTATATGGCAAAACTAAAAGAAAGGATGAGAGAGAGAAAGACTATTATCAGTGGTTACATTGTTAGCAGTATACTGTTTCATTTTTATATTTGTTAATTAAATTATAGATATGTATTACTGTACAGTTTAGAAGTCAACATAAAATACTTCCTAAATATAAGATACACAACCATATTTCCTAACTTAGTGTAAATGATCAGCAACATCACAATTACAAGTCTGAAGAGATCATGTCACAGGAAAGATGTTAATGAGGTATGAGAACCTCATCCTTTTCCTAGCTCTAAGCCATCATAACTGCAAGGCTCTTCTTGTTGCATAGCTTTCTGTGTCTTGGGAGCAGATGAGTCCTCAGGAGCAAAGGACAATTCTTGCCCAGAGATCACTAACTATGCAATGATGCCTTTTTTGCCCATGTCCCTTTTTGTCTGCATTCTATCTTCTGTTATATTCTCTTTCAGACTGTTTTGATGCCAACATTTTTCAGACTCCAATTCAGACTCATCTGGTGAAGAGGACAGGACAGAGAGCAAAGGTTAGATGTGGTGCTGAAAAGTGGAATATTACTCCTCTGGTATCAGCAGGACCAGAACAAAGAATTTAAGTTTGGGGTGTATTTACAGAATCAAGAAGTTCTTCAACAAACAGGCATGGACAAGAAGCAAATCTTAGCTGAATGAATGTCCTCTAAACTTATTTTGTACCTTGGAAATACAGTCCTCATTGAGGCATTGAGGCAGGAGACTCAATGTTCTACTTCTGTGCCAGCAGTCATTCCAGAGCTCTGAAATATGCATTCCTCTTTGTGCACACATCCTATATGGAGTCAATTCGGGTGGTAGTTGATGCTCTTAGTTGGAAAGAAGTGACATAGATTAACTGGAGTTAATGCAAGCTGCTAATAGCTTTGTATTTCACAAGGCTCCATGGTGTTTAGAAGTCAAGGAATGACAAGCTGAGAATTCTAATATAACTCTTTCCTTTTGCCCTTGGTCTGGTCTAGGACAGGGATTTTATTATATCACGATCTTTCCCTCTTTTATATCCCTTATTATTTTACCTTTATGCCTATAAACTTTCTTCTTTAATTCAGTGTTCATGGTGATAATAAAAAGGTCATCAAGATCACAAATTAAGCAAATGTTACCATACCATGTAGATAAATAACAAGTTGTTCACAAAAGAGAGGTACAGACCAAAGGATAGAATAGAGAATCCAGAAACAAACTCATCCATCTATAACCTCCTAATGTTTGAAAGAGACATGGTGGGGGACCAAGATGGCAGCGCCGGGAGAACACTGTGTCTGAGAAGCTGAACAACACTCTCTGTGCAGCGACCAGGAGACTAAACTCTGGACCTTAAAACTACAGCGATTGTGTTTCCCAGGTGAGGGGAGGCTCCCACAGCGTGGGAATCGGTCGGGTCCACTCTTGGGCTGCACAGCCAGAACCCAGAAGAGATCCCGGGTAATGCAGGCTTTGGGTCTCCGCACTGGAGCTGCAAGCTTGCCTGTCCCGATCACTTTCCCAGGCTGATTGGTGGGCACAAGAGACTGGGAGTCCCAGTCGCAAGAAAACCCCACAGGGAAGGAAACTTGCTAGACTGGTCACGGGTCACCCAGTCTTTCCCTGGAGGGTCTCGCTGACCACGGGTACCGCCTCCAGCACAACTGAGCTCCCGCCACGCACAGAGAGCAGCTGCGCGCCTAGCTCAAAATCCCTACTCCCTCTTCAGAGGAGGCAAAAAGGCGGCCAGCAGAATCTGCCACAGACCACATTGTCTGTACCCCAACCTGAGATCAGGGCTGAGAAAACCCAATCCTTTCGGGCACTCCCTCAAATGACGCCATAAACCTGCAGCTGAGGAGCAGAAGGATAAAGAGGCACACAGTGGCTTCACAGTACCGGAACTCCAGTGCTGCCAGCTGCTCCTAACAAACAAACTTGAGCTCGGGATCTGGGACTGTGGTCATTCAACAGATCCTTAGACTCTCCCGGGTCCAGCGCAATAAGGTCTAGCACCAAGTCCTATCACCGGCGCCCCCCCCCCCCCCCCGACCCCTGGCAGAGAAACCCCAGCTCAGGATCAGACTGAGAAGTCCCAACCCCTTCTGGCACTCCCCTGAGAGCATTGCCATAAGCTTGCCCTAGCAGAGGGGAAGGTCAGAGGTGAAGGACAAAGAGGCAGCCTGCCACAGGACACAGCACCCCCTCTCCAGCACACCCAGCGGCCCCTAGCAGAGAAACCCAAACTCTGGATATGAGGACACTCAACCCTACCTGGTACTCTCTCGGGATCAGCAAACATAGGTTCTTCTTCCGCCAGGCTGCTTCTGGCAGAGAGATCTGGGCCCAGGATCTGGGATTGAGAACACTCAACCTTACTCTTTCCCTTGCTACCCCGGGACCAGTCAACATAGCCCCTCCTGGCAGAGGGAAAGGACAGAGAGGCAGCACACAGGAAAGTTGGACACCAAGTCCTGCGGCCATAGTATCACAGAACTGACTGTTAGCCTACCCGTGCATTTCCCACAGCAGGACCAAATCAGAGAGTAGGGAGCAAGGGGAACCCCTGTGCATTCCAACTGGTCCTGCAAGAGAGTGAGTGAGCCTTCTAGGGAGAGTTTGCCCCAGACCCAGGGCCTCTCCACAGGAGCAACCAGATGAGATTCC